AAAAAAAAAAAAAAAAATCAAATGTTTTCGCACAAAGTTGAATGTGCATTTATTCCGGTTTCCATCAAAATGAAGCAAAACAGTAGTGAACATGCATCATGCAAATACATTTCAAATAAATAAATGATAATAAATTCAAATAATACTTCTGTATATTTTCATTTCACTCCCTAAATTACTTTTTTGTCCTGTGCACCTATTGATGAGAGTTTTAAAGTCCAAGGACGTGGCTGTAGTCTGTATAGTAAGATCTTAGGGGCTGTTGCTAACGTTTCCAAAAAGCATACAAAATTGTCTTTACATTATAGAATTCAGGTGGAATTCTTAATTTTTCTGAATTGGTTAATGTTCTCTATGACTTGTTATTGTTTGTTGGGTTTTTCATTTGTTTGGTTTTTGGGCATTTGAGACAGCGTCTTGCTATGCAGTCCAGGCTGGCCCTGAACTTATCATGTAGCCCAGATTGGCCTCAAACTCACAGCGATCCTCCTGCCTCAGCCTCCCTATTGCTGGAATTGCAGGGACACACCACCATGTCTGACTCAGCTTTCTTGAGCTAAATACTTTGTCCACTAGCACTACATAACCGTAGAAAGATTGACTGCATTTTTACTCTTTCAAAGGCAATTCAGGCATGGTTGAGCTGAACCCAATAATCTGATATTAATTTTTAAATTCCTGCACTCAACAGTGTTCCAGACAACTTGAGAAGCGGACAAAGAGTGACATAGGTTTGTGACTTCTGCAAAGCTTAAGGAGACAACAGGAGGTACTCAGCAGCTGGGAGGAGGTGAGGGCCATTGGATATAGGATGCAAGGTGACCAGGTAAGCTGAGCAGGACACTGGGGTCATCTCAAGGAAGCAGGAGAGCTCTGTGGATCCCCGAGGGGTGGGACGGTCCCACCACATTTTTGAATCCATGTTTCTTTTTCACACAGTGTAAACTCAGCCCCGTATCTCTTCCTGAAAACATAAATTATTTCAGAGACATTTCCAGCTTTTTACTAAAGAGATACAAACGTATTCACGTTATGAAGCCCAAGTTGAATTCTCAGTATGTGAACTGATAATGATAAAGTTTCCAAACATGTGCCAATAAGTTGTGGCAAATGCATTTTATTGTTTCATTTCCAATCTGTATTTGCCTGATGGATGGATTGCTTTTTCAGTACTGGGGATTGAACCCAGGGCCCTCACACTCAATTATAACCCCAGCCCCTTTTTAAGTTTTTTTTTTCATTTCATTTTAAGACAGGTCTTGATAAGTTGTGAATGAACCTCCCCATTCTGGGCTGGAAATTATCACCCCACTACCTCAGCTTCCCAGGTTGCTGGGTGTGTTTGTTCTTGGCAAAGACAGCAGTTAACATATCAGTAACACAGAGTTCCATTTTATGACATTTCTATTTAAAGACCAACGTGGCTGTGGGGGGAAAGGAGCCTTACACACAGTTGCTGGGAGTGGACACAGTACAACCCCTATGGAAATAGGTGTGGAGGTGCCTCAAAAGACTAAAACGAAAAATCCTGTGTGACCTAGCCATCCCCCTTGGGTGTCTTCCCCAGAGAGTTAAGTACATCATATTACAGTGACCCGTGCACCCACTTTTATAGCAGCACCACACATAGTAGCTGAATCTTGGAAGCTGCCTCTATGTCCATCAGCAGAAGAATGCACTCAGAAAATAGGGGATCTTCGCACGGTGGAGTACTACTCTGCCATAAACAAGGATACGCTCGAGTCATTGGTAGGAAAATGGGTGCCCCTTGAGACCATAGTGTTAAGAGAAACAAATCAGACACGTAAGCTTAAATACCTTTTGGGCTCTCTTTTATAAATAAAGAACAAAATATAAGATGGATAAGAAAAAGTAGGGGCATAGAGCTTTCTCATATGGGAAAGAGATCAAAAGATGCAGAGAGGGGGAAGAGAGGGGACGGGAAAGCGACGAAAAAAGGACTTCAACTGTTACGCACATGCGCCGGCTCCACATAACGAATGTAATCATTATGTGTGGCCAACATGGACTAATAAAGATTTCTTTAAGAATCAAACCGTAAAAAAGACTTGTCTAAATTAAATCCTGCCCTGCCGCACAGTGACCTCAGGTTGCTATGTGGTACGGAGCGCGGGCCTCAGGTTGCTATGTGGTACGGAGCGCGCGTCAGAATCGCCACGAGTTCTCTCGCACCACAGTGGTCTCTGAGGCTCCAAAGGGACAAGGTCCCCGGACGGCCTCGAGCTCCAGGGACGCAGGAGCCAGGCCTCGACTTGGGCCTCAGCACCGGCCAGAGCTCACTGTGGTCCGTCCCTGTGAGCTCCGGGCCTCTCCAGGGCGGCTTCTCTCTATGCAGACAGCGGAAAGAGGAGAAATCTTCTTTATGAGAAGCCCGCCTGGGGCCTTGAGGTCAGAAGAAGAGACTTCTCGTGCCACCTTCATAGTTCTTTGCTCTGTTTCTAGCAGTCCTTAGCTCCTACAGCCTTTTGCGGATGTCTGCCTTTGTCATGGGGAAGTCAGTTCCTGGAAAACACACCACGTAGTTCTCCATTGCTGGAGCTGTCGTTGTACCAGCACAAGGCTTTTGGAGTCGTGAGTGCTTCCTAATCGTCTCTATTTTTTTTCTTTTTTTGGTATGGGGGGTTGAACTCGGGTCCTTGAGCTTGTGAGGCAGGTGGCGGAACCACTGAACTAAATCTCCGGCTTCCTAATCCTCTCGAGTCCGTCCCTCACTCCTTCACCAGCATCCCAGATGGACAGGAGACACCTCCTGTGTCTCTCTACACAGGGCCCTCGGAGAAAGGAGACTTCCTGCAGCGGCTCCAGGAAGCTTCGCTTATCTTTAGGAAATATCTAAATGTTCTACTCTTTTCCATCTCAAGCTACATTCCTATTCTTCTGAAAGCAGGGGAACATTTTGGCCAAGCCCGGGGGAAGAGCCTGGTCCCTTGCTCCTTCTTTGATGTATTTATTTAAAATAAGAGAAATGAAACCTGAGAAAATCTGTTGATGGTTTCAACTGTAATATAACTTAGGGATCGCTCCACAAGCAAAACTCAGGGCCGGATCTGCCAAGTGTGCGGCCGTGGAAACCTTCTGCAGACGGAGGCAGTTGAACCAATGCCTCTGCCAACGTGGTAACAGCAAGCCAGGGTGAAAACATGCCGTCCGCGTGGGCTCAAATTCTGCCCATGGGTGCATAATTCTTTTTTTTTTTTTTTTCCTGGTTCATTTCAGAGAGCTCAGGTTTGGGGTTGTTTTCAGAAGGCTGAGCAGCTTTCATTTAAATTATTCAAAAGTTGTATTTGGCTGAATGTTGAGTTTAGTTCATTCTTAAACTGGGATCTTTTCCAAAGGTTGTTGAGAGAGAGAGAGAGAGAGAGAGAGAGAGAGAGAGAGAGAGAGAGAGAGAGAGAGAGAGAGAGGGAGAGAGAGGACAACTCCAGTGACTTTGGTAGTGAAAAAAAAATGTAACCACATTGGTGACAGAGCCCATAGACTCCGTCCACACAGCCAGTCTGAAGATGCGGTCTGGGTGGCAGGTGTGGTCCGCAGCAGGATTTTTGTTGACAGGAATCTGCTGGAACTCATAGAAAGGAATGAAGCCCCAGTAATACCCTCAGAGGTGTGGGAAGTGGAGGGGACATTTCAGGGGTACTATGGCTTAGATCTAAAATGTCCCCCAAGGTTTCTTGTGTTTGGAAGGTGATGGAATCATGAGGGCCCAATACCCAGAATTCATCAGTGGACAGGCTCATCCATGGATGAGTTCAAGGCTGAACGTGCAGTCAGGAGGTGGGCCTGACAGAAGTGGTCACTGGGGCATGACCTGGAAGGCTGTGTGCTGTGCCCCGCCCCTCCCTCTCTGGCTCCCGTGGGCAGAGCAGCCTTCCCCTGCCCCAGCCCTTCTGCCTTGGAGCCTGCTGACCATGGACTGAACCCACCGGGAACCAAGTACGCCCACCTCTCCTCTCTACATTGTGCAAGTCGGGGATTTTGTCCCAGCCATGTGTAAGCCATGAGGTCAAGGGGGAGTGGTGCATCTGCAGTGGCTTGTGCTGGGGGCAGGACGTCGGAACAAGCGTGGCACTTCCTGTCTGACTGTGGAGAGGAAAGGACAGCTGAGCCAACCGATTGATTGCGTGGCTCTCCATTTTGGCCCCCGGGAAGTATGCTCCTGGAAGACCACTCCTTAAAACGTGATGCTGCGGAGAAACATTCACATTTGGTTTTCTTTGGGAACTGGGCACCAAAGCCCTGAGTTTTGCGGTTGCCTTTGTTGGATGATGACTTGAAATCATTTATTGAATATGGTTATAAGTCAGCCAGAATCTGAACCTGATTAATGGGATTAATACAAATCGATCAGCCTCAACTCAGCCCAATTTACAAGAGGCTTTTTCAGATATATAAATACATATTATACATAATTATATATAGGATATCATATATAGATCAGGGAGAACAACTTACACAGACTTCGTTACATTTTGTTTTTTTATCTCCAGTATATTTTAATCTCAGCCAAAGTAGACCCAATTGAATTCATTTCAACCCAATTTAAAAAAAAAAAAATTTATTCAGTCTCTCCCATGTGCCAGGTTCTGAGAGTACCAAGATAAATAAGACAAAATCACCCGTCAAGAAATGTGCAGACTGTAGGAGACAGACCCTGGCCGATTCAGTGTCACCTTGGAAAGGCAGGAGCAGGAGCACAGGGCACACAGGCTGGAGCCTGAGGACCTCTCTGTTTGCAAAGCTTCTGCCGCCACCTCTCTGACCACCCAGACAGACAGATGTGCACAGCACCCCCAGTCTTGGGGCCTTGCTCTGGGCCTTGAGCTCAGTGCTGGGCGGGGCTTGTTCGCCGGGCACTGCCTGTCTAGCAGTCATGGCTCCCTGTGGGTGGTGCAGGGCTGCACCCTCTGACTTCCAGCACTTCTTTCTGTCATGTTTTCTGCCCTCTTTGGTTGACATTGTTAGTAAGGAACACTGCAAAGAAGAGACCAACGGTGGTGTGGAAGGGCTTCGGGTCGTGTGGTCTGCATTGGTGCCCAAGGCTCTTGTGCACTTGAGTATTTTTAAGCAGCACACGAGGAGCTGCCACCAGCTGCATCATCAGCGGGAGGCTCCCAATCCCGCAAAGCTGAGTGCTTCACAGAGGCTGCTTCCAGGTTTTCCTGGGTCCCTGCATCTCTGGCGTTCTTGGGACTCCAAAGCCCAGCGCTGGCCAGGTCACCTGGCCTTGTCCACTCCCGAATCTCACTCACAGGGAGACCAGAAGGAGGCGGCTCTGTAGCAATGTGAAAGGTAAGTGTGGGCGCCCAGGTCCGCGAAGTCCCCACCGTGATGGTGTCTCTTTTGGTTCCTGTCCGAAACAGAACTGTGGGTTCCGGTTGCTTATTCTGGAAGTGGTTCCAGGAGGCAAAGATGAGGCACAGAGGACAGAAACAGCAGATGAGGAGGAAATTCAGGAGCTGGCCCTCTTCCAGCACAGCCGGGCTCAGCCAGGACAGCCCTCTAAGGGATCTTCTGGATTGCGCCTCCCAGGGACGGGAGCTGGAACCTGGACCCCACCAGACACTGCCGCTCCATGGCTGGGAGTTGTGGCCTTGGATAAGCAATCCCTGGCCCTGGGGCTGCCTGGCCCAGATGGACCAACTCCAACACTCTACAGGGAAGGTAGGGACGCGGGCACTCGGTGCAGGGAGGAGCTGTTGGTGTGTGAGGGGATGGAGTGCTCAGCTGTGGGTGAGCTCAGGGAGGTGCCAGCATGGTCTGGGCTGGGGAGTCCACCCTACTGCTCACAGGCTGCAGCAGATGAGCTGGGCCGCTAATGGTCGCACAGGAAGTTCAGAATGTGGCACCAAAGGTCATGAGTCATCTTTCAAATGCTGTGCTGGAGGCTATGAAGACAGTAACGTGGACACAGTCTGAAAGGATTGAGAGATAATCCTGGGTATAGGGGAGATTCAGGTGAGAAGGTGATGGGTGATGGATTAGAAAGAAAATCTGATTTTGAGGAGGCTGAAGTAGGAGGATCACAGATTTGGATCTAGCCCCGGAAAGTTAGTGATTTAGTGACAACTGCCTTGAAATTAAAAAAACAAAAAACAAACCATATATATATATATATATATATTAGAAAGGGCTGGGGATGTACGCCAATGTGAATTCCCTGAGTGTAGTCCTCAGTGCTACAAAAAAGAAAAGAAGAAAGAAAGAAGGAAGGAAGAAAAAAGAGAAAAAGAAAAGAAAATCTGGACCCCGATTGTGGGACACCCCTCTACCTACACAATATTGCAAAGCTTTTTATCAATTGATTGATTTATTGGTACATTCATCCTAGGGAATTTGCATGATCTATCTTTATTCTTATTATTACTCATTCTCTTCTCCTGCTTTAACCTTTCTTCCTCTCCTTATTTTCTTTTCTTTCTTTTTTTTTTTTTGTACTGGGGATTGAACTTGGGTCCTTGCCCTTGCAAAGCAGGCCACCAAACCGCTGAGCTAAATCCCCGGCTCCTCTCCTTATTTTCAAAACCTTTGTTTTCATTTTATCCTTCTTTTCTCATCTCTTTCTTTTTCCCTTCCTTTCCCCTTCCTCCCTCTCTAGTGCCCCTTCAAAGATTTTCTTCCTATTTCACAATACATTTTGGTCCTTATTTACACATTCAGTTTCTCACACCACAGAAATAATGAAATATCTACACGTGTGTCTGATTTATTTCACTTAAGAGTACGGACTCAAGGTGCATCCATTTACCTAGAAATGTCTTAAGTTTATCCTTCTTGATAGCAGTGTAGTACTCCATTGTATAAAACAACCACATATTTTGTGTTCATTCATTGTTTGATGGGCATTTGGGCTGTTTCCAATATTTAGGCATGACAAATTGTGCTGTTGTAAAAACTGGTGTGCATATATCACTGTGGTATGATGCTGTAAATTCTTTCAGGAAGATACCAAGCAGGGACCTAGCTGGGTCAAATGGAACTTCTAGCCCTAGTTTTTCGAGGAATCGCCACACTGATTTCCATAATGGTTGTACCAGTCTCCTCCCACCAACAATGGAGAAGGGTTGCTTTTTCCCCACAGCCCCTCCAACATTTGTTATTGGTTGACTTCTAGATAATAGCTATTTTTTCTAGGTAGAGATGAAATTATACTATAGAGCTACTATGATGAAAACAGCATGATACTGGCAAAAAACACAGAACTGAGGATCAATGAAACAGATTCAAAGATGCAGAAACAACTCCAAACACACTCAGCCACCTTATCTTCGACAAAGGGGTCAAACACCTTCACTGGAAGAAAGATCGCCTCTTTAATTAATGGTGCTGGAAACACCGGCCTTCCACATGCCAATGCATATTGCTCCCCATGCACTAAACTAAAATCAAAATGGATCAGAGATGTAAATATTAAAACAGAAGCACTAAATCTTCTGAAGAGAGACTAGATAGAACTCTTGACGACACAGGTATAGGCAAAGACTTTATGAACTTCTGATCACAATGGAAATATCACAATCAACAATTGGGATTTCATCTTATTAAAAAGCTTTTGCACAGCCAAAGAAACCACGAATAGAATGAAGAGACAATTCACAGAGAGGGAAAACATTTTTGCCAACTCTCCCTCAGACAAAAGACTACTATCTAGAATATATAAAGAACTGAAAAAAAAAATCAAATCCCTAAAATTTAAATACCCAATGCAAAAATGGGATCTGAGATGAATAGATGCTTCTCAGATGAAGAAGTAGAAATGACAACTAAATATATGTTTAAATAAATATATGTTCAACGTCATTGGCCATTTGAGAGGGGCAAATACAAATCTTAAATTACATCACACATCACAATTTATGTGTACAGACAAAGGCGATTTTAATTTTTCTTTTTTGTTGGCTCTGAGCTTTCTCCTATGCCCTACCTGCTGGTTGACAGGAAAAATTTTAACTTTGCGACCGTCTTTGCTTTAGAGCTTTGAGTCTGATAGATAGGGCTGTGTCTCCCTTGGATAAAATGCTTGGCTGCCTCTCCTGCGTCTCTTCCAAGATGGCGCCAGTGCTTGGGATTGGTCTGGTCTATGGCACTGTCTCTTACAGTCTCCATGGTGAAAAACCCATCGGTTGCTTGTTCCAAAACGTCCAATATGTTGCTAATGGGCATTTTGTAATAGCGAAAAAAAATAAGTTACTAGAGAAAAGTGAAATGCAAAAAGACACGAAATCCAAGCTCAAGTTTCTATCACTAGGTTGAACAGACATAAAACCACTGTGGCAGATTGCTATAGAAGTTTTTCCACATTTACTTTTAATTTCTGGACTTATCTTGTGATGACTGGTAGCACATTTCACACACTGGTACCAGTCCAGGGACCACACTTGGAATGGTATCTGTCTCTCTGAGGGGGCAGAGTCTCAGACACCATGTGCTGGGCTGCCTGGCAAGGTCCGTTCCCCTCTTGGTTGCCAGTCACCCGGTTGGTGTCCACGGCTGAAGCCTGGGGTTGGTGGGACTCGTCTGGAGCCCGTCCCGACATCTCCTGGCATCTCCCGCTCACTGCCTGCTGACACACACCAGATCTTGGCCACACCCTTCACCATCCCCAGGCGCAGAGGGGTCCTGGGCCCCAACCCCACAGCATAGAGAATCACTCAGCTCTGGACTACAGGAGCCCCCAGCGCTCTTGTTAGGGACCAGGGTCAAGAACCTGCCCTGCCCTTGGTCTCTCCTATGCCCGCCCCTTCAGGGGCTTTTGAAGGAATAGCTTTTTCCTATATCATTCTCTCCCCTCCTGCATCCACAGCGCCAGCTACCTCCCAATGGCAAGTGGGACTCCCATTTCTTCCACACCACTCAGGGGAGCAGGCTAATCCAGGCTGGGCTGGGGCGGGAGGTGCTGAGGAACTGCGGAGAGGCCTGGAGAAATGCAGCTCCGGTGCTGCCCCCACCCCCACTCGACTTGCTCCTGCCCCCACGGTCCCCCTCTGCTATGCAGACAGCCAGGTAGCCAGGCAGGGAAGATCGTCCTGTGAAGGCAAAAGTGAAGATGCATACTGATGATTTTCAAAGCGCATCCAGGCGGGAGACAGGCCTGTAGTTCCTGAACCGGGTGTGGCGGACGCTGTAAGTGAGCTGGCACCGAGAGGCCCCAGGGTCTGGGTGGGCAGTCAGGCCCCAGCCAGGGGCCAGATGCGGGGCATAAAACCTTAGACAGTGGGGCATGGTGGTGCATGCCTGTGAAGCCAGCGCTCTGGAGGCTGAGCTGGAAGTTCGAGGCCAGCCTGGGTAGTTAAGGAAGCTTTTGTTTTAAAATTAAAAAAGAAAAAAGGGCCGGGAATGTGGCACCGTGCGAAGGTCCTGGGTTAATCCTGAACATAACAGAAACAAAACAAAACAATGTGAATGAGAGGGCCGGGCTTGGGCAAGCCGGCCACGCAGTGCCCACTCCCAGGATCCTGACCCCTTTGCTAGTTATGTGACCTCAGGGTCTCCTTTGTGTCACGGAGAAAGGGACTCCCAAGATGAACGTGTGAGACCCTCAATGGCAGGTCCGTGCTGATGCTGCCTGCCCCCATGGCGGTGGGCAGAACGGTCCAGCCACGCGACAGAGGGATGGAGACGTCCCAGTGCTGGCAGGACTTTGTGACAGCAGCAGTGATAAGAAGGAGGGAACTCCAGCCAGGCAGCGGTTTCCAGGTATCTTTTCAAATGTATTCTCCGGGAAGGGTCTGATTAGACCCAGATTCTGAACTGTTTTCATCATTGATGTAATGACTGTGATTTCACCAGCTGTGATCCTCCTCAACCTCGAAAGTCCAATCCAGCTACCCGGGGAGTCTGAAAGGGAGCTGCAGTGCCACAGTCTCTCTGTGAACCCAAGGTTCTGACTCTGGTCTGAGGCTGGGCTCCCAAGGCATGGGCGGGGGGATTCAATGTGGAGGAAGGGCCGGATGTCGGCTCTACAGACTGGGATTCTACTCCTGCCCAGGTGGACACGGAGTGGATGCAGAGTTAAGGGGCCAACTTAGGAGGACGCTGTTCTGCTGCTCTGACCTGTGAGAGGAGCAAGAGGTAGGCGCATAAGGCTTGGCCAGGACTTCTGGGCTCAGGCAACCCTCCTGTCTCAGCCTCCTGAGTAGCTGGGAAGACAAGTGCTGACACCACGCTTGGCTGAGATGTGTGTTTCCCACAGAATTGGTGCACCAGTCACTATGCGGAAGAGGAGGGTCACGAAGGCGAAACACCCTCATCTGTCCCCAGGAGCTCCTATAACTCACTAGATGTCACCTGTCTCAAAGCCTCCCTGGAAGCATAAGGAAATTGTGGCTTCTATCAAGTGGCCACCACTCATCCATGGCTGCTGAGAAGGGCTGGAAGCCTGCTCCTCCCATTCCTAATTGTGCGCTGTATCTAAATCAGACTTTTTAAACCACTAAAGTAAGAGCAGGTCGTCCATAGCCAGGTAATGATTTGCAATTCTGGAATATAAAAGAAAATCTTTATGGTACTGATTTGATTCAGGTGGATTCACTGTCATGTCAGTGCCTTCATCAATAGGAAAATCAGGCAGGAACCGGATTTTCTAACAGCGGAAGCGCCCTCAGTCAGGAAGCATAGTGCTGCCAAAAGGCACTCGGCAGAGCAGTTCACGGACAGTCAGCCTCATAGCGCAGGGAACTCAGAGGGGCTGCAGCAAATCTCCAGGGACTCCGGATAATCCCACTTTAGAAATACAAATAGAGCTCCTGATCCCTTTGGTACAACCCTGTCACCAGAGCTCAAGGACAGATGTACAACGTGTTTCGTATCAACCTGTCTTGTGCCTTATGCAAGTTGATAGGAATTACGCGTTATGCGATTTTACCGAGCAGCTTGTGGTCGCCCGGCATTATTGAGAACCGCTGTGCAGGCCCAAGACAAACTGCTTCCGATGCAGAGGGAGGGAGGCTGCGGGGGAGAGCACCGCACCCTAAGTGTCCATGTGGAAGGGCACGGAACCCCTCAAACGATTTCGCAGAAGATGATTACCAAAGACGAG